GTGTGTGTGTGTGTGTGTGTGTGTGTGTGTGTGTGTGCAAGGGCATGCTAACAGCCTCTAATGAGCTCTGTGTTCACTTCACTTTGATAATCAACTGAACAGCACCAGAAACTGTTTTAAACCAAACAATGAAGTTCAAATAAACTTTATTAACACAACATGTTTGTTCCAAAATGAAACAAGTATGTAATTAACCAGATTAATTGTAAATAAATCCATGTATGTTTTATTGGTATCAGGTCATAGTGTCACTGACATCCTGATTGACACATTAAATATTACATTAAATGATAAATGTGCACGTGAACTGTTTACTCACATTACAGGCAGAGCTGCACATCCTCAATCTTGTCAGGATCTGGAGGTTTGACTGGAAAGTTCCATCAGGCACCTGAGTTCCTTGGTCTCCACCCCTGGGTGGAGCCATCATCCCTCCTGCAGTCCTGCACACCTTAGGCTGATTCTGGGTAATCAGGTTGAGGATTTAAGCTCCACTGAGCCTCTTCTTCAACACCAGTTTGTCAATGACCTCGCATTGTTTTCCAGGACCTTGCCACTGCCTTCAACCCCCAGGTCTCCTCGGATTATCCTCGCATTCTGGGGCAATACAAAGGATCTCACCTGCCTGCCCTCCGGCCACCACTCACCACCTCGGACACAGCAGAACTCAGGTCAGCCAGCCTTTGCCACTACTCACCTGGATCCTCACCACCTTTCCCTCAAAGCCAAGGTTACCCCAACTATCCATAAGCATTATCAGTCATAACCACCTCTGCTAAATACCCTATGCTTGCCGCCTTCTTAACCCCGTTCTTTTTTCTTCCCAGACGCACTCCGTCCCCGTCGCTACCTGCCAATTCCCCGTTCACCCCACTGACCCACGGCCACACCATTAGCAACACTTTGCCACAAATTCACCTGTTGATCTAATAAACAAACACTGTAAAACGTGCGAGCCGTCTCTGTTGCGGTTATCTGCGTTTGAGTCCAATTTAGCTATCGGCCTGTGGCCATTGTGACAAATCTCACCTAAAAACCAAATGTTTTGGTAGTGACCTCTGAACTTTTCCAAGTCAAAGACTGATCATGTTTCAGAAATATGTTAAACAATGCCAGCTTTACAAAATGGAAGGTATTACTTTGAAGATGAAGCTTCATACTGTCTCTGTCATGAAGTCTTCCTGCTGGGAAGCATCAAATAAAGTACACTAAATGAACACCAAATAAGACCTGTTTATGGTAATATGTTAATGCAAGGTGTCCAAATCCAATATAAGTAAAGTAAGCACTTGCAGACAGGTAGAACTGAGTTGTTTCTGTGCCAATAAAGGTCAGTTTGTTTCATGTATTTGGATTTCAGCAGGAGCCTGTAGGCATTATCTCTGGCTCTCTTCCACAGCATGTCGTTTGTCATGTCTTCCTTCTCTCACCCCAACCGGTCACTCCCTAAGCCTGGTTTTGCCAAAGGTTCTTTCCTGTTAAAAGGGAGGTTTCCTTTCCCACTGTCGCCAAAGTGCTTACTGATAGGGGGTCATATGATTGTTGGGTTTTTCTCTTCATGTAGTATTTTAGGGTCTACCTTAAAATATAGGCTGTGGTGGACCACTAGAGAGCTCCACTCACACCCAGTGTTGAGGAAGTGTGTTGCTGTGTTTTGTGGCGCAATGTGTTCAGGTGATGTGAGGAGAGTAATAAAGCAGGAGTGAGAACTAAGAGCTCCGTGTTGTCTGTGCTTACCTCCACATTGGTGACTCCAGACTCGAACATGCTACAGGTCAAGGATGACGCCGGCTCCGCTCTGGATGCATCAGCAGCCGTCGGTCCACCACCTCCTGCTGCAGCTGCAGCTGCTTTTGCTGTGGCGCTGAAGCTGCCGGACTTTTGGCTCCACGATCCCCCGTCGTGGTTCGTGCATGTGGAGGCACAGTTTGCGCTTCACGGCATCTCGGCTGACGACACGAAGTATCACCATGTGGTGGCCTCGCTGGACCCGCTAACCACCCGTCGCGCGATGACCCTCCTCTGGGACCCACCCGCTCAAGGGAAATACGTTGTCCTTAAGGGGCTGCTTCTTCGGCATATGCCCTCTCCGACACAGAGCGTGCCGAAAAGCTTCTCTCCTTCTCAGGCCTGGGTGGTGGCACGACTCTGGAGCTCATGGAAAACATGTTGTCGTTACTCGGACCGGATGATGGAGGATACCTCTTCACCCAGCTCTTCCTCCGACAGCTGCCGTGAGAGTTGTCCTCACACCAGACCGGCCACCTCTCTCCTATAAGCCACTTCGTCCCCTCCAGTGATGCGACCGATCACTGCAGTGTCGTCCGCGAACTTCAAAATTATGTTGTCTTTGTTGGAGGCGACACAGTCATGGGTGTACAGGGTGTAGAGGATGGGGCTCAGGACGCAACCTTGTGGGATGCCAGTGTTTGTAATAATGCTGGCTGAAGTCCTGTTGCCGATCCTGACAGACTGAGGCCTCTCAGTCAAAAAGTCCTGTAGCCAGTCACATAGGGCGGGGTGCAGGCCGAGTGTTGCCAGCTTGTGAGTGAGTTTGTGTGGGATAACAGTATTGAAAGCGGCGCTGTAATCATCAAAAAGTACCCTGATTCTTTGTTTTACAGGTGGGAGAATGAATAGTGAAGGGCAGCAGCGATAGTGTCTGACGTGGACCTATTGGACCGGTAGGCATACTGCAGGAGGTCCAGAGTGTCTGTGATGCTGCTCTGGATGTAGGCCAGCACCACTCTCTCAAAACACTTCACAATGATTGGAGTGAGTGCAACTGGTCTATAGTCGTTCAGGCAGGTGGCTGGGCTGAACCTCCGCCATCTCATCGGCACATGATTTAAGAGCCCATCCCGGGATGTTGTCTGGTCCTGCTGCCTTGCGGGGGTTGATCCTCCTCAGGGCTTTGTGCACCTGGTCTATTGTGACCGCTGGCGGGGGTGGGTAGTCTGGGGGTTCTGGCAGGTCTGGAAGACATGGGGGTTCGGGGAGGTCTGGGGGGTCTGAAGGGTCTGGGAGGTCTCGAAGCGGGTGTAGAATGCATTGAGATCATCCAGAAGACTGCCTGTAGAGCTGATGGTGCTGGTGCTGGTGGTGACCCTATATTCTGTGATGTGCTGCAGGCCTTGCCACATCCGCCTGGGGTCAGCAGAAGAGTAGAAGCCATCCAGCTTCTCTCTATATTTCCGATGCCCATAGGACTCCACTGCGTTCACTGTATGACGGGCCGTACAGGGTTATTAAACCGGGCCAAAAACATTTCCTTTTGGACTTTGGAGGTCGGCAGGAGGTTGTCTCTGTTGAAACACTTAAGTCTGCGCATGTTCTGCAGGATGATCAGGTGGTTCCGGCCCAGGCCCCGCCGCGGCCGCCCACCTACCACCAGGCTGATGGATTCTGTTTTTTCCTTTAGGAGAACCCCACACTCACATCCAGTGTTGAGGAAGTGTGTTGCTGTGTTTTGTGGCGCGATATGTTCAGTTGATGTGAGGAGAGTAATAAAGCAGGAGTGAGAACTAAGAGCTCCATGTCATCTGTGCTTACCTCCACAGGCTGTTGTTGTGATTTGGCACTGTATATATACAATTTAATTCAACTGAAGAGCTAAGAAAAATATCTTACATGTAGCAAGTGAAAAGAAAACATGTTAGAACCAACACAGGAAACAGATGTGTCAGGTAGAGTGGTCAGAGGCTGCCCAATGAGAGAACCAAAAACAGAGCGCATAGGAGAGAAGCATGTATAGCTCAGAGAGGACCTACAGAAACAAAGCCTTCAGTCAAGGAATCCAAAGGCTGAGAGACCAACGGGAACCGAAGCGAGACAGGAAGACAGAAAGGAAACAAAAAACAACTTTTGTCACTTTCCAAAGACTCCTTCTGTCTGTCCTCAGTAGTTCATAGTGAATCTGGAAAATTTGCAGCTCTGTCCTCCTGAGCTGTTCTCAGAAAAATTATTTATTAGATTTATTCTAGTGATCTCGAGGCTGCAGACAGTATAACTGTGAATTATTCTGGTGCATTAAATTTCTTTCACCTTTAAGTTTTGGAATTTTGATTTTAGTTTTGGTGTCAGATATCTGTGTAAACTTATTTTGTGCTGTTTGCTGTGGGTACTTGTGTGTATTATTAGTCTGTATAAACACTGCTGATTGTACTGCTGTGTGTCTTAGCCAAGACCCACTTATCAAGAGATTTTTAATCTCCGGAGATAAAACAAACAAACAAACAAACAAACAAAACAAAAAAAACGAGTCTTGTAACTGAGAAGCCTGAGTGTGTTTTGAACACCCTGTAGATCTGAAATGATGTTAGAAACCCGGATCACAGCCAGACTCTCCCTGTCTGTTGCTACCTTCACTGATAACACACTGCAAGCATGTGGAGAGGCTATTGATTCGTTTCTGCAGCAACAACCATCAAGCAAACAAGCATGTTTAAAAACCAGCACACAGACACACAGTGTAAACCCCCATTTGCCACGTGAGACTCCCTGAATCCTTCCATTTTCATTTTTCCTCCCCTGGGAGGTGCTGCAGGTCGCCTCAGGGACTGTATGAAAGAGGTAATATCTTGTTAAACAACCCATGAGTACAAACCATGAACCTCTGATATATGTATATACATATAACTGCAGAACATACCACACATTAATTATTTTCTATTTCCTTGTGTCTCATGGGGAATGTCCCTCCTCCAATGAGTTCCCTTTTTAGCTCTGATAAGTGGTTGACTGGTTATAATACAGTGCTTTTCTGCGACTGATCACACTACACAACTTGCCTCATTCCCACAAACACTTTTTGCTATGCTTTTTCAATGTAAGTGTTACTCCTATAGATGCATCGGGGGATCAACTAAGTATCTTGCCAAAGGAGATGTGGCATGTAGAGCAGCCAAGGATCGAACCACCTTCCAATTAGCAGATGACCTGCTCTACCTCCTGAACATGCCACCAGTAACACTGTGAGGAACACCTCTTCAGGATTTTTTTATGTCTGGTAACACAATACATAACGTAAATATATAAAACTAAAATTACTTGTTAAATAATCATCTTTGCTTTCAACTCTAATAGGGTGATACCATACAATGAGGTCATTAAGATAAAATGATTATTGAAGACCTTGTATGTAATGAGAAGGATTTTAAATTTGATTGTGACTGTGGATTTAACAGGGAGCTAATGAACAAAAGACATTGTAGGAGAAATATGCTCTCTCTTTCTAGTCCCTGTCAGTACTCTTGCTGCAGCTGTAGCTGCAGATTTTGGATCAACTGAAGGCTTTTCAGGGAGATTTCTATGACATACTGATAATAACGTGCTACAATAGCCCAGTAGCCTAGAAGTAATAAATGCATGAACTTCTAATTTTAGAAATATAAACACAATAAAGCAGACTTACCTATTTATTTAATATGTGCATTGAAGGACATATTCTGGTCACAAATGACTCCAAGATTCCTCATCGTGTTACTGGAGGCCACGGTAATGCTATCCAGAGTAAGTATTTGGTTAGGTACTATATTTCTGAGAGGGCTAGGTACAATATCCTCAGTTTTAATTGCATTTAGAAGCAAAAAAATATGAGGTCACCCAGGTCTTTATATCTTTAAAATATTTCTGTAGTTTAACTAATCGGTATGTGTTATCTGGCTTCATGGATAAATAAAGTTGGGTATCATCGGCATAGCAGTGAAAATTTATGCCATGCCTTCTAATGATACTGCCTAAGAAGCATGTATAATGTAAACAGAATTGATCCTAGCACAGAACCCTGTGGAACACCATTATTAACCTTAGTGTGTGAAGAGGACTCTCCATTTACATGAACAAATTGGAGTCTGTTAGATAAACCACTGTAGCACAGTACCTATAATAGCTACAGCATCACAAGGTCCACAGTTCATGTTCAGTTTAACTTTATTTAAATCTGATAAATGAAACAATCAAAAGAAATTCCCATCACAAATGTTTAAATGTTTCAGGAACACACATATAAAAGAAAGAATAAAAACAACAAAGAGCAGGTTTAATACTCCGAGGTCTGCTTGATCCAGGGGTCAAAGCTAATGAAATACATTAGGGCCAAAGATAAAACTTGGTCTGACACTTCATGGTTGACCTGCTGTGGTTCTTAAATGCTTCCACTTTGCAATAACAGTAGTACATTACAGATGACACAGAACATCTAAAGGGAAGAAATTCTGACTTGTTGCAAATGTGGTATCCTGATGTAGTGGCATACTTAAATTCAGTTCTTTGGAATGAGCCATTCTTTCACAAATGTTTGTAAAGGCAGATTGCATGGCTAGATGTTAGATTACATACACCTGTGATAACGGAATTGAAAACACCTGAATTAAAAAGATGAAGATTTTCACACCTGCTGTGTTCATTCCAGTTAAATTGATCTCTGTTTCGTTTTCCTCCTTACACAGAGTAAACATACAGTCAATCAAGCACCTAGCCGTAAAATTAATCCAAGTTCCCCATGTTAATCACTGGGCAAGAACCCAAAACCTTCTTCCTGTTCTTACATTTCTTGCTCCTGCCCCAAACATCTGGCAGACAAGCAGACTGCCAAGGTTGTCACGCGGTTTGACAAATTTTGGTTTGCTCTGAATTTTTTCTGTGTGAAAAGAAAAGACATCGTGTCTTTTGTGTATTTGTTTTTTGTAAGCCAAATTTTTACAACTTCTGATTCAGAGCACAATAATAATGTTAAATATTTTAAAACACCTTAAGAGTCTAAGTGGACCAATACTTTTTTCCGTGGAGTTTACCTGTAGTATATAATGAATATGACCCCTGGATTCTGGACAGCAGTTTCACTCAACCCTGGAATAAATCAATGGCTTGGTGATTCTAGCGAATTGAAGGTAAATGTCAACCTGCTGTGAGTGTTCAAGTGAGTTCATGTGTGGTATGAGTCTGCGTTAATCATGTGACAGATCTGTGTGCGTTTGGGTTTTATTTGGTTTAACATTGTGTTCTAACTGTGACTGCTGATGTTCTATATCTGGCGGCGGTTGTTCCTGGATCGTCTCTTAGACGTTCGGCTCCTCACCGGGGTTTTGGGCTGAGGGATGATGGGCTGAGGGATTACCGGCTGAGGGATTACCGGCTGTGGTGGGAGGGCGGGGCTTTCAATGGCATGGTCGGGACTCTGGTGGTTGAGGGCGGAGTTCCGCGGTTTAGCCAAACGAGAGCTGGACTTTTTCTTCCCTGATTCTTCAGAGTCATCTGTAAAAGGAAAACAAAAACAAAAAAAAAACAAAGTTTGAAACTGTTTCAAGAAAAAGAAGGCGTACAACTTCACAGAAAAAAAATTCTGCTCAACTGATACTAAAAAAAACAATCAGAAAGAAGTTACAAAAGTCACAAAGTTTTCACCTCCAACGGACTCTGGCTGCTGGGTAAACAAGTTAGATATTAATTTATTTGCTAACGTATTGGTGGTTCACAATATGAAAACTGTTCTTTGGTCTAGAGAATCAGAGTATTATTGTCTCACCATCTTCCTCTTCCACACTGTTTGGAGCAGCTACAGCAGGTTCTGCAATCAATCAATCAATTAATTAATCAATCAAGCAATCAATCATCTTTTAATTTCAGCTGATGAATTCAAAATCCAGCAGCTATCCATGCAGTCTGCATATCCAGACATTTGTAAAAGAATGGCTGGTTCCAAAGATGTCACTGAATTTAAGTATAGCACAGAAGGTTGACCAGTACTTTGTCCATATAATATATATGTATATATATATATAGGGACATACCAGGTGCCTTTATACGGTTGATTACTGGAACTGAAAATAAAAAGCATACACTTACATGTACAGTACTTATTTTTAAAAGTTTTTACATTGTAGCTACAAACTGAAGACATCAAATATATGAAGCAAGATATATGGAATAATGTAGCAAAGAAAAAATTGATGAATAACTGAAGAATCCTCAAAGTAGCCACCCTTTGCATTGATTACTTCTTTGCACACTCTTGGCCTTCTCTCAATGGGCTTTATGGTGCAGTCACCTGAAATAGTTTTCACCACACAGGTGAGCCTTTTCAGGGTTCATTTGTGGATTTTCTTGCCTTCTTAACACTGTTAGGGACCATCAGTTGGGTTGTGCAGACGTCAGCTTGGTACACAGCTGACAGCCCTATTTGAAAACTGTTAGAATTCATATTATGGCAAGGACCAATCAGCTAAGTAAAGAAATGTGACAGTTACTTTAAGAACACAAGGTCAATCGGTCGGGAAAATTGCTAAAACTTTGAATGTATTCCCAAGTGCAATCGCAAAAATCATCAATCACTACGATGAAACTGGCACACATGAGGACTGCCCCAGGAAGACCAAGAGTCACCCCTGCTGCTGAGGATAAATGTATCCAAGTCATCATCCCCAGAAATCACAAAATACCAGCACCTCTAGTTCCAGTAGAATACACATCTGTACATCAACTCTTCAGAGGAGACTGCATGAATTGGGCCTTTATGGGGACATAGCTGCTGAGAATCCACTATTAATGAAAAGTTTCTTGGGTCAAGAAACACAAGGAATTGACATTAGACCAGTGAAAATCTGTGCTTTGGTCTGATGAGTCTAAATTTAAGATATCTGTGTCCACCTGCAGTGTCTTTGTGCAATGCAGGTAAATGGATGGTCCTTCACTGTGGAACTGTGATGAATGGTTCCCACAGTGAAGCATGGAGGAGGAGGTGTGTTGGTGTGGGGATGCTTTAGTGGTGATGCTATTGGGCATTTATTAAAACTGAAGGCACACTGAACCAGTTTTGCTACCACAGCATCCTGCAGCAACATGCCGCTCCATCGTTTATTTTTTACCCCAAACACACCTCCAGGCTGTGTAGCGGCTATTTGACCAAGATGGAGAATGATGGAGTGCTGCACCAGATGGGCTGGCCTCCACAGTGACCTGACCTAAACCCAGTCAAGAGGGTTTGGAATGAGATATATCGCAGAGCAAAGGCAAAAGGGCCAAGGAGTGCTCAGTATCTCTGGGAACTCCTTCAAGACTTATGAAAAACCATTTCAGGTGACTACCTCATGAAGCTCAACAAGAGAATGCTAAGAGTGTGCAAAGAAGTAATCAAAGCAAAGAGCGGCTATTTTGAAGAATCTAAAATATAAAACATGTTTTCAGTTGTTTCACACTTTTCCATATATGTTCATTCATAGTTTTGATGATCTACATCATAAATAGTCATGAAAATAAAGAAAAACCATTAAATTAGAAGGTTTGCCCAAACCTTTCACCAGTAGTGTATGTGCAATGAGACCAGAGAGCTATGGGTTACTGTCCCTTTTTGTATCACTACATGAGGCAGATTATTATGTTTCTTACATAACTAGCCGGGCACCAAATCACCACATAAACTGCCAAATCTGATTCTGATTCTGCTTGCAGTAAATCCTGTTGTCTCTCCTCCTAATCTCCTCCTGCCACTAGGTGGAGCTGTATTCCCTGGGGTGTGTTACCTATGAATAATTAATGTTATTGTACATCACTTTTCGGCTCTGATTAGTCAGAAGGTATGTTTCTCGAACACTAACTCAACCTCTGGTCCAAAGCAAGTTAAGGTAAAAATCGTTCTCACGGTCTGCTGCCTGTGAACTTGAGCTGCTGACGTCTGAAACACATTGACACACAGAAAAAAAGCATTAAACAGGTAAATAGGTGAGATACAGCATCAGGTCTGACCAACCACCTTACAGTACTATTGTCATGTAATCATGAATGTCAGAAGCAAAACATCTGTGAGGAGTTCACGTGATGATTGTCGCCTTATATCTTCATCATCACTATCATGATCATTGTGTACCTACCTGAAGGTCCTCCTCCGTAATAATGTGATTCATCTGGAATCAGAACAGAATTTTTTTGTTAGATGTGTTTTGGTCTTGATTTAACTTCAACTTGTTATTTCTAGTCAGAAATCTCCAGTTCCAGTGCTTAACCTTCAGATCAAATATGCTTCAAACAATGAGGTCAGTTTATGTTTTTGAGACAGAAGCTCATATCAGACAGAGGTTCTGCCAGCATGTTGCTCAGTCCTTCTGTTTGTGAGGGAGAGCCAATCAAAAGGAAGTCGTCTCAAAGGGAGAGGGGTTACATAAGCTTATTTTAGACATGTGATAAAGTGATGAAACATGATTTACTGTGACATGTTACTGTTCCAGTAACTTTTAGATACACCTGAGATTGACCTGCTGAAGCAATTTTAAACTATTGCTCACATCAGTTGTTAAATGTCAGAGAAGCACAGAACTATGAGCTCAGGCCTGTGCCTGAGCTCATAGTTCTGTGGAGAATATGAGCTCAGGTGTACTATGAAGGCAGTTCAGTATACTCAGTATACTTTCTGTTGTCTAGATTCACTCACCCTAACATTGTCGATCAGGATACACAAAGTTGGTGGAGTCTGACCATTTCTGTTCTCACCGAGACTTTAACACTCCGTACACTGATATCATGAGCTTAAAGGTGTTTTCCAGCTGTGTCTGAGTTCAAAATAACAGAGATTCTTACCAGGATGATCAGGATAGATGGCGTTTATGCTCTCTGAAACAACAACAACACTTCATTTAGAAAATCTTCAACAGAAATGATGCCGACGATCAGCCCTGCTGGGGGGCACTAATTCTGCCATGTTTGTATCAGGTATGTCTCAGTTTCATGGATGTGCTCCACGTGAGCAGAAAAGTAATTCAAGGTTTCACTTGACAGTTTTTAAGCAGTCAGGGTTAGACTTTGTGTTTGCACAACTGTTCTCTGATTCATCACCTGCCTCTACATGCATTCTCTTCCACTTAACCTTATCAGGGTCATGAGGGAGCCTATTCCAGCTGTCATTGTGTGAGAGGCGATATAAACCCTGGACAGGTCGCCAATCTGTTTCAGGACTAACATATAGAGGCGGACAACCATTCGCACTCACATTCCCACAGTCATCAATAAACCCCACTAACTGCATGTCTTTGGACTGTAGGAGGAAGCTGGAGTATCCAGAGAGACAAACATGGGGAAAACATGCAAACTCCACACAGAAACTCAGGAGTCAAACTCAGGACCCTCTTGCTGTGAGGCAAGAGTGCTAACCACCACCTCCTGGTGTTACAATATTTAAAATAATAAATATTCTTCATATAAAACCAAAGAACTGAGTCATTTTATTCGAGAAATTATTCACACCCGAACCCCACACATACTAACCTGTAGGAGCTTCATCAGATGTAGAATCTTTGTCTGACAGAGAGAGGTAAAATATTATACATGTGAGACAAAAACAGGTGAGATAGTACAGAGATGAAATAGAGACAGGTGAGAAAGCACAGAGGTATTTACCTGTCGATGTGGCATGTATTCCAGCATCTGCAAAGTGAAGAAACACTTTCATGAGGACAGGCAGGTTCATCAGTGACATTTTACTCAGATTGTCATTCAGAAGAGACAGATGACTTTTAACCCCACCGCTGGAGTCGATGTCTCCCTCAACCAGCACGATGAACAGAGAGAACAGAAGAACAACGTTCCTGCAACAAAAATACAACATTCAGTTTGACTTCCTGAGGCAAAAAAGGCATTTAAGCCTCATTTTGGTGCAAAGTCAGAAACCTTTAAATCTGGGATGAATCTGTTTAAGTTTCACTTCAGTGTGACCTCTGAAATTTAATGCTTCAAAATAACTGGCCTAAAAACTGCCCTGATTTGTTTTGAAGGTGGCACTGGGGATAAACGAGTCTGATTCTGCTGTTTTCATTGTTTTTACTGGGATCAGATTAGCTTCAGGAAAAATATACATGTATTGATTCAACATTTGAAGAACAAAAACACAAATCAGGGATATTTTTTCTTGCAGGTCAAACTAAGAAATGCATCTGTTTTAAGCTTTCAGCTAATCAGCTGTCAGACCATCATTATCTGTGATGTAACACGAGTGATTTGAATAAATTCTTTAAATGCTTGTTTTAAATTAAGCTAACTGTAATTCAGTTTTCTTTAGAGCAGTAAAAAGTTTATAAGCTCAGCTTTTACAATTAAAATGAAAAAGAGAAACAAAAAAAAAATTTAAAACTCATTTTCAATATAATATGTTTTAATGTAAATTTTATAACACATGCTTTTATTTTATTTTGGATGTACAGGTGCAGAAAAAATGTTTTCTTCTTGCATTCTGAAATTTTAAAAAGCAATAAAAGTTGTTAACCCTGTTATACACTCTATATAATAATTACATGTTAATTTATATTAAAATTGTTTTATGTAATTTGTAGGAATGCAATTTCAAACTCAAAGAAGAACATTAACACAGAGTAATGAAGAGCTGAAACAAGCAGGAAGCTTCAAGAATATATCCTGATATTATTGATTAATGTTTCACTCTGTAGACTAAACAATAAAAACACACTGAGACGAGAGGATGGACGTACCTGTTGAGCATAGTGATGTGATGTCAGACAGGGGATCAGTACAGGTAGGCAGACGGTTGACTGTTTACAGTACTTCAGTGTTTCCCTGCAGGAATCGTCAGGTTCTGAGATTCTGCAGCAGTTTATATATCGACCTAAATGTCAGAGTGTGTGTGCGAGAGTTTCAGGTTACTGCGTTAAAGACAGGAAGAGGAAGACTCCCAACCAGGTGAGTTTTTCTGAATGTATGAGGACCATGAGTCTGACACTGGTGACCAAAAGTCTGGAAATGTTGATTTGACTGAAATTTGACAACCTTTATTAATTCACATTATTTCAAAGAGACAGTGTGTGTGTGTGTGTGTGTGTGTGTGTGTGTGTGTGTGTGTGTGTGTGTGTGTAGAGAGAGAGAGAGTGAGAGACAGAGGGACACACACACTGGCCACATTTCACTCAGACACTGAGATCCTCCAGTAGAACCTGAACAATAGTGAGAGCAGAACAACAATGCTTCACTTGAAACCTGGCCCACAGACCAGGACCCCCTCAGTCTTGACCCACTACATATGAGAACCCCCTTAAATGTAACCCATTACAGACCAGGACCTTCTTAAACCAAACCAACTATAGACAAGGAACCCCCTCAGACTTAACCCATTACAGTCCAAGACCTCCTCAATTCAATTCGGTTATCTGAGAAGCTTCTTCAGGTCTAACAGTTGATGTAAAGTCCCATTTCACCTCACTTCACTATTTCACCTCAAGTTGGCCTGTGATCATGATGGTCATGTGAGCCATTAGGGTTACATGGATGCGGCAGTTTAATCATCTGGATAACCCTCTAATGTATCCACCACCCCCTCAAGTGTCCTCACAAGGACAGCTACAGAAACGTGTGTGTGTGTGTGTGTGTGTGTGTGTGTGTGTGTGTGTGTGTGTGTGTGTGTGTGTGGTATTTGGCTATCAAAGGTTCTTCTGTCTGAAAATGTCTTTCTTTGTAAATGGAGACTTGGCTGAAGGGCTGAAGAGGCTTTTTAAAGCAGCACTGCTTCTTTCAGCCTCTGCTGCAGCTTTGAAACACTGTAAGGTCAGATTTACATGTTTATAGAGCCTCCATCCATTAATCAGTCCACCTATCCTTTCTTTTATTCATCTCTCCATCCTCTGTCTTTCTAACAGCATCCCACAGGAGAGAGGACGACCTGAAATAGAAAGGAGCTGTAGGAAGCACATTGTACTCTAAACACAGGCATATATCTGGGAATTAGTTTGAGCCACTTTAACCCAAAGTGTGGGCATCAGAACCACTAGAAACCAGCAGAGACAGAAACTGATTGAAACTGTCAGTAAAAGCCCAAATAAACCCTCACAGATGTCAATTCACACTCAGTTATTTATCTATACAAGTTTCACATAGCGACTTATTATGTGTAACGCACATGTGCTTAATCAGAAGTACCTGCCTATTATATTCACGGTATTCATTCGTTTTGTCTTTAAGGATTTGCTAGCTTAACATAGCTATTAGCTTAGCTCCTTATATTCCTTCGACCTGCAGGAATATACAGAAACTGTCATTGCCTATATCTCAAAGTGTATTGATGATGTCACAGCGACCAAGACTATCACTGTCTGGGCCAACCAGAAACCATGGCTCACAGGTGAGGTCTACAGGCTTCTGAGGGTGAGAAATGTGACCTACAGAGTCAGGGATGAGGTGAGCCTAAAAATAGCAAGGGCAAACCTGTCACGTGACATCAGAGAGATGAAAAGGCAGTACTACAGGACCATTTTAATTTCCAGTGATTGCAATTTTCAACTGCCCTTCACTCAGCCCTCACACATCGGGACACAAGAGACTCATATGTTAGAATGCTGTTCATAGTCTTCAGTTCAGCATTCAACACGATCATTCCCCACCAACTCATTCACAAACTGGATCTGGTGGGGATCAGCACCTCACTTTATGCACACATCCTAGGGGAGTCCCTGTATTCAGTGTTCTTATGCTGGAGGTGTTGCTGCCCACCCGTACTGGCTGCTGGATTTCCTGACAGGAAGACCGCAAATTTGCCAATGACTCAACTGTGGTAGGTCACATCAGCAACAACAGTTGTTCATTGCAGTTTTTTTCCAACTCAGGAGCATTGCTAAACTCAAAAATGTCATCTAAAGACCTGGAAACAGTTATCCATGCCTTCATATCATAGTCTTGGCTACTGTAACTCTCTCTATTTAGGCATCTGTCACTCAGGATTGTCCCGCTTGCAACTCGTTCAAAATGCAGCCGCGAGGATCCTGACGGGGACCAGAAAGAGAGAGAATATTACTCCGATACTCTCCATGGCTCCATGGCTTGGCTCCTGGTTACATTTCAGATCTCCTTAGCCTGCACCTACCCACTATAACTCTGTGTTCCTCCAGTCAGATGCTTTTATTGGTTGCACGCTCCCAGTTAAAATCTAGAGGTGACAGGGCTTTCTCCAATGCCGCTCCGAGACTCTGGAACAGTCTTCCCTCTTTTATAAAGTCCTCTTCCTATTTGGAAATCTGCAAAACAAATTTGAAGACCTACGTATTTTCAAAGGCTTTTGTATCTCTGTACCACTTTTATTCAGTTTTAGCTATTCCAGTGTTTTATCTCATTGGATGATATATGCATGTGTATACGTATACATATACTTTAAGTTCACGTATGTGTGCTTGTGTGTGAATGTGTACACTTTTGTATATGTATGTGCGTGTACATATATATTTCTACAAACAAGTTTATATAAGAGTCTGCCTCGGCGTGTGTGTGTATATGGATGTCTCACATACATTTTTACAATGTTTTTTTATCTTATCTATTTTAATTCTTTTTTCATCTGATTATATTCTCCCTCTGTTCAGCACTTTGGGCGACACTTAATGTCTTTTAAATGTGGTGGCTGAGTGGTGCAGGGACAACAACCTTTCCCTGGATGTGGAGAAGACTAAGGAGATCATCATAGACTTCAGGAGAGTTTACACTCTGCACACCCCACTAACCATTAATGGTGCTGCTTTGGAGAGGGTAAGCAGCACCAACTTCCTGGGTGTGCACATCTCAGAAGATCTCTCCTGGTCAAAGAACACGGCATCACTGGTCAGTAAAGCACAACAACAACTCTAGTCCCTTCACAGAATAAAGAGCCTCCGGGCTAGAACCAGCAGACAGATAGACAACTTCAACCATCAGGCTGTCAGGATGCTGAAAATTCTCTCCTGCTCTATCCCTTTTGAATGGCCACTCCCGAGAACCCTCAATGTCTAGATGTATTTAAAATTAAGAGGTGGACACCAGCACCAGAGGTGAGGCTGGATAAGCGGACCATCCTCTGAATGCTAGGCCCTTTCTGTATGTGATCATTTTTTGCTTTTTTGCTGTTTTCTTTCCACGCAGAGTGTACAGTGGACGCTAATGTTTTGTCACTTTTTTGGAATCAAACTAAAAGTAATGTCAGTACTTCCAAGCTTTTCATGCTTTTGCAAAGATGCTTTCTTTCATTATCAGTAGTTCTCATCGCGCTGATTTATGTTCAAGGGGTCTCCTTTCTCATAAGTTTAATTCTATTTACTACCATAATGCTGTTAAATTGGGGTGCAACATCCTCATAACTTGACAGACTGGCAGCTGCAGTCACGGAGAAACTTGTGTATCTCTTTTCGGGAATGGCAGATTGAGCGGGGATGCTGAGAGGTTCAGGGTTTACGTTACAAAACCACTGAGAGCCTATTCTTCAAAAAGTGTGCACTTTTTTAGTAAGTTAAATGTGTTTGTAAGCTAATCCATAACTAAGGTCCTTAGCTAGGTCATGAGACCTAGCTAGCTATCCAATATCTTCACTCATTGTAATAACTCCAAAACAAACTGATGAAAACAGTACAAATGTACTGAGTACCACAAAAGTACCACATGATATGCTGTCAGTGAAAGCTGCAGCTGTTTCATTGATAAAGTTAAAGACAAAAAGTCAAAGGGATTAATCATCAATGTAACTATGTTACTATATGTCAGCATTAACAGTACCTCAGTTTAGTGTTTCAGAAAGCTCCTGATCTCAGACCTGCAGAGCTTCTGTTTTAAGCACTGAATGTAGTCGCATGAAGAGCACATGAGATTTTCTCTGACACAATTAAATAAAACCTGATGAAGGTCAAAGGTTGTCACTTGTATGGTGCACTCAAAACTTGTGATCTGGAATTATATCACTGTTTTTTTGCCAATATTGTGTTATTTACCATAAAGTAATTTAGAGTCATGGTGGTGAAGATGAAGAGTCCTGCTTGATCCCTGCAATGAGCTTCAGTGTTCCTGATGTTTCTAGAATGATGCCTTTCTCAGTGGGTCAACAGAACATCTGGCACAGGACAGGTGTGATGAAAGAAAGGGAAGAAGTTTCTCCAAACCCCTGGACCCACAAAACCCAGCTTGGTCTTCATGGTCCCCCTCACTAGTTTTCCCCCAGGGTGGATGTAGCTATCGATAATAATGTGCACTCTATTATTAAATGAAAAGAACAAATTCCACTTCTATGAAACCTGCTGCTGTTGTTTTAATTTAAAGTTACCAGACTATAGAGTGCTCTGTGAGTTTAATAGATCTAAAACGGTTTAAATCTTCAGTTTTAAATCATCCTCACTCTCATGTTAAAATCTAAAAGGACCACATTACATTTTTGATATTAACAGTAACTCCGGGCCTCTGTGGAGTGTACTTTGTCTAAAAATGGAAAACAAAAACGAATGAGTGCCGAATCATTCTTCAGGCATGTGATTCTGGTAACCACATTGTTCTGGTCTTGCTTTCTTTGCTGCGAAGTCAAAGCTGCTGTCTTTGACACAGTAGACCACAATATTGTAATATCTCGATTAAATGATGTAGTGTCATGGTCCTGAGTCTGTGGCTCAGTGGTTTTGGTTTTGGTTATTATTACCTTGTGTTTAAGGTTACTTCTTGTTTTCATGTTCTTTGGGGTTGGGTTTTGGTTATATTTTGAGCTCCTTCTGTTCTGTGTCTCTGTGCCTGCCCTGGTCCCATGTCTCTGTGTTTCCCCCTTAGTCTGTGTCTGTAAGTCCATTCTGTGCATTTCAATGTTTTAC